ACTCAAAGTTGTATTAGGCTACTCACGCTAACAAGCGTGAGTAGCCTAATGGCAGGGCGCGGACCGTGATCTCGAAAGGTCGTGGGTTCGAACCCGCCATTCGACTACTATCGTGAACCACTTCTAACACAAGCATTTTAAGCTTACCAGAAGTGGTTAAAGGGAATATTAGTAATGTTTAATAGCATTACTAGTATTTTTTTAAAAAAAAAAAAAAAAAAAAAAAGAACACCGATTCCTACCAATGAATATTCGCGGGGCTATTGAAATTTAAAAAAAAAACACATCCTAATTTTAATAGGGAAGATGGCTGAGTGGTAAGATTTGCTAAGGGCGCCATAGTTAATAAAATAAAATTCAAACCCAAGCATACTCCTGCATTTATTCTATTACTATTATATTCTATTCTATTCTTATTCTATTCCATTCTAACTATGACATCAGGTCGTCAAAAACCTCAGTCCTACCGTGACCATGGGTGCTGTAAAGTGCTCAAAACATCGGGAATTAAAAAAGTTAAAATTAAATGCGATAAGGTCCTTAAAATTAGTTTTATTCCTTATAAATTATATTCACAGTGAACCTGGGAAGCACTACTCTTATGAAAGGGAGTAGAAAAATGTTCGTCTTGTTGTGGCGGTGAAAGAGAATCCGCCACCTCATATCGTACCGTCGTAACAGGTGACATAGGACCTGGGGCATGACATGACATAGGGCAGCATCATCTTCCTGACAAAAGATCAAAATAATAATAGCTGCGGTTGCCAACACGCCTACCAAGCGTGGCAACTATAGCAAATATCCAGCTACTTGACAATTTATGCGGGAGGCCTATGTTTATTTCAGTGGACTTTTTTTAAAGTGAAAACAAAAAGTAACATACCCGAAAATATGAATATATTGCCCCATGAAAAGTAAAAAGTAGCAGTTCAAATACACAATGGCAATGTCTGCATAAAGTAAAGAAGCAGCTAATATACGTCTCACTACTGTACACAGGACTCCTCATTACCTATAGTGTTTTGTGGGCAAATAATAAAGTACGCTGCAATGTATTAATTCATGTTAACGGTTTTCACATCTCCACGACTATTTTTACTACTCAGACATCTAGGTTTCCCCACGAAGTTATTCTTCACCACTTTAACGGACAGGTGTTAAGTCAGCACGTAAAGTTTTCTATAACAGAATCATCCTCGTACACGCTTTGCTCCCGTGCCATGATGTAATCTCACGGTGAGAGCTACACAGCCCTCATATTTGTTTAAATACAATTCATTAAAACTGAAACTAAGATTTTGCATGTTTGTTGACCACATCTACCTAGTAATTACACATCCAACGTTGCCACGAACGAATTTTCAATTATTTACATCGTATATTCAGTAGCGTTCTATTATTTAATTATATCAGATACTTACCATTTTACTTTGTTTAGTGGTAAGTAGATGGCGCTATTATTAGATTAAATAATGAAAGCCAAAACTATATATCTAATAATATTAGTAATAGAAGTGAACATTTATTTATTTTATCAATAAGGCATAAAGTGATGACAATTCTGTTAAAAAGATACGCTATCAGCGCCGGTAGCGGTGAAAAACGATTTAATGATATCGTCATATGACCATATCATGAAATAGCAACGTTTCTAGTTAGTAATATCTTCAAACGATTTCTATTCATTGATTTGGTCAAGCTATATCATGAGATGGTCAACAAACAGTGTTAAATATCATGAAATGATCACACCATTTCACGAAATGATAGACTACTTTATATGATCTATTCTACGATCTGGCCACGACATATATAAAAATCTATTTTATAAAACTTTATTGATAATGAAAATTTTGCAATAATTGCAGACAGACCAGTTTTAATCAGTTTACATATAGATTAGTAATTGAAATAAAAACCTTATCAATTTTCATATTTTTGATTGATCTTCTATTGAAATTATTACACTTTTAAAATAAAATAACAAAAATACTAAAAAAACTAAACGTTACAGTTTTTAAATAATTTTAAAAATCTTATTATCTTATTATTTAAACATATAAATGCAAGTTACTTATATTATTTAATTTATTAGTAACTGAAGGCAAAATATACTACTTTTGCATTTGATGATAGATGGCGCTGTTTTCATAACTAAATCGGTGTAATTTCAATTTATTTTACCAAGTTTATAACTATATTTTATACTTTATTTATAAATATGGTATTTATTTGAAAAATACTCGTCATCCCATCTATAACTAAGATATAATAGAAAATCAACATCTAAAGGAAGGAAAATACTTAACCTTTTTTTTTTGAAGTTCCGTAATTGGATAAAAAGTAACCTATTAGTTGCCCCGGGTTACTAACTACCTATATAAAAAATTTCATGTAAATCGGTCTCGTAGTTTTTGCGTGAATCCGGAATACACAGACAGACAGACAAAAATTCTAAAAACCACTGATTTGGGTTCAGAACCCTTTATTTAGTCCCCTGGACTTGTTTTTTCAAGAATATATTAGAATTACAGATACGACTTTTCTACAGATTTATTATATGTATAGACTAGCTGCTCCCCGCGACGTCGTTCGCGTGCTAGGGTTTTTATGTTTTTGCGCGGAACCCTAATTCTTTTTCTAAAATGAAAGTAGCCTAAGTTACTCCTTATGAAATCAGCTATCTGCCAGTGAAAGTCCCGTCAAAATCGATCCAGCCGTTTCGGAGATTACCCGGAACAAACAGACAGACAGACAAACATTTTAAAAATTGTATTTTAGTTATAGGTACCGTATTTACTTTCATATGCATTTAGTAAAAAACTGTAATTTTGACATTACAAACAGACACTTCAATTTTATTTATTTGTATAGATTAGAGGTTTTTTTTAATGTAGTAGCATTAGTATTTACTTTAAAAAATACAATAAAGTTTTGAAATTAACTTTTTAGACAGTGTTTCTCAAGGTAGGCGATAACGCCCCCTTGTGATCGTTTGAGACCTGGAGGAGGCGTTAAGGGGCCCAGAAAAAATAGGGGCGTTGGCGTAGTTTAAAAAATGCATCCAGATAAAAAGGGCAAAAATGTAGCCTATTTTCAAGACCTGGAAAAGAAGCATAATGGTGAGCCAAGTGTATCAAAGCATTTTTCGGTGGCTGCTAAGTAAGACGATGACGGACTTCGAACTTCATACAATATCTCTTTGTTAATTGCTCAAACAGGTAAACCACACACCATCGGAGAAACGTTAATTTTGCCGGCAATAAAAGAAGTTATAACTACTGTGCTTCATAAACCGTCGGCAGACATAATTCGAAAACTTCCTTTGAGTAATAGTTCTGTGCAAAGACGAATTGATGTAATGGCTGGAAACATTGAAGTGTCATTGTGCAATCATCTAAAGACTAGTCAATTTTCAATTCAGTTGGATGAATCCACTTTACCAACTAATGAAGCATTATTGCTGCCTTACGTGAGGTTTATTAAAGATGAAAAAATATGTCAAAAATATGTGAAATTTAGAGATAGACACAAAAGGAGAAATCATATTTAAAACACTGGAAAAGTTTTGTGATGAAAAAGAAATTCCCTTGAAGAATATTATATCAACTGCTACAGATAGTGCTCCAGCTATGACGGGGTGTAAAAAGGCTTCATGACGTAGGTACTTAAAAAACAAAATTCCAGATGTGCTTGCTGTACATTGCATTATACATCGACAACATGTCATCAAAGCAGTCAATAAAATCCGAAACAACAACTCTTTAAATGACAGATTATTTAATCAGCTTTATGATACTAAAGCGATTGATCTTTCACACAGAAGTGCGTTGGATATCAAAAGGAAATTGTATGACTCGATTTTACAATTTGTTTGACTCTGTCGTAGTTCTTGGAAAACAAAGATACAGAATTGCGCGACAACATAATCATATCAAAGAATGATGTTGCATACCTGACAGACCTTTATGAATTGCTTAATGATATGAATCCCAACTTCAAGGTGATGACTTGAACTTAATAAAAACAAAAAATCCTGTCGCTGCTTTTGTAGCCAAGTTGCTCTTACACAAGAAGAATATCAGCAGACGTGAGTTCTGTAATTTTCGTAATTTATCAGTATCCTGCAACGTCGACTTGCTTGACTACTGCCAACATTTGGAAGATCTCCACAGTGATTTCATTGAAAGATTCCAGGACATTTTGAAATTGGAAATACCAGACTGGGTGTTAGATCTTTTTTCAAATGTCAACATAGCAGTATTACCCAACTGGAAGAAGAACTTATAGAACTGACAACGAACAAGGAAATAAAATTAAAATAGCTACCAAGAATTTAAGCTACAAAAGTCAATCCTGCAGTGGTACCCTGGATTGTGGTCGATCGTTCAATGATTTTTGATAGCATTCCCATTGTCATATTTGTGTGAAGGTGGATTTAGCACTGTGACAACGCTGCTTACTAAAGAAAGAAATCATTTGCATGTTACCAAACCCGACAACTTACGACTGTTTTTGAGTAAAATCAAACCTGATATCAACAAACTTGTTAAAAATCATCAAATTCATCCATTTCATTACATTAGTTTTGAAACTAAAATTGATTACCTATCTATATTGTTTCTTTTAATTTGATTAAAATATATTCTTAATAAAAAGTTGCATTTTAATTGCTCTCACTGGTAATAATGTCTAGTTTAGAATGTAAGTTTAAACACCAGAACTAACTAATATAGCACACCATAACTAAATTAATTAAAAGAAATAAGTTTGATAATCTCCGTTTTAAGAGATGTTGGACTTCACATAATAATTATTGAGATCAAAGGGTCATCAAAGTATTCAATCAAAAATAAAATAGCAAATTTAGTAAAAACTTAATTTATTTTAGAATAAGATTACATAATTTATCTCACACCTCAAATTGTAAAATGACTTCATCATAACATAACACTCATTCTCTTGCAAACAACATTAAATATTAGTAATAACAAATATTTTTATGCTCTGGTATATTTGCCCCAAATGTGAAGCATAAAAACTGATGCAATGAAGAGAAGAGACATAACTAACACCGGGACAGGACCTCTGTAAAAAAAAAATTACTATTAAATTCATCTTAATACTTCAAGAGTTCGCTTTCATGCAACTATAATAGTAAAACAAACTGTTGGGGGCTCAAAGCCCACAGGGTCTAACAAAAAAGTCTAGAATAGTCCTCTTTACAAAATTTATTAAATAGATATAGTTTTTTTTTTATTCAATATAGATTATAAATCATACTTAATAAGTCATTATTATGCTTAATTTACCACTGGTTCAGAAAATAGCTCTGTCATTGTAAGAAACAATAAGAAATCCAGCAGAACATTTTATTTTGTGAATAAAGAACAGTTTACTTTCATATAAGTTATTAAGTATTAATTAACTACTCAATACAAATTAGAAATAGCTTGCTTCTATACAACATTTCTTAAAGTTTTTGAACTTGAAATATTTATATATTTACTGGGATTTTATTGTAATATTGTCCCAAAATTGAATTACTGATTCTATCTCTATATCCATAGAGTCGAGTAACCAGTACTACTAACTTGTGTTCTTAGTATTTACAGAGTGAATACACTTATTTTTAACACTACTTATCTTTTTGTGTACATACATAACATTTTCATAAATCTGCTTGCTAGTTTGGATATATGGGGGTATCATTGAAGCTTTGCATTTAGAGTGATTTCAAGAAAAGTAGTAGTATCAACAAGACTTAATTCTACCCATTTAAAATAACCTTAGTATTTTGATGTTTTATGTTACAAATTTCATTAATTTAATCAAAGTGCCATTTTAATGCAAACTATTAATGTAAACCAATTTACCCTTATGATCAAAATAAAAAATAAAAGGAAGAAATTAGTTATAATACACTTACACTTTCACGCCAGGAGAATCATCTGTATAAAATCGCCACATACCACCCGAACCAGCACCAGTGCTACGATTTCTGGCTGCAGTTGTAGTGGTAGTGGATTTGCGTTGTCTTACTGTGCTGCCACTTGATGATCGTGGGGCAGCAGACACCTTACTTGGTGACCGTCCACCAGAGCCAACAGCTGTAGAACTCGGGGAACCTGGCTGAATTTGTTATAAAAAATATTACACAAAGAACATTAAAAATAAAACGGTTTACAATAAATTATGAATAAATATATTTACCATTTTAATTTATGAAAATAAATTCACAATGTAGCTCTATAAAGGCAAGCACAAAACTTTTACAAACTTTTTATCACTGAAGTTCCGTTGAAAGCGATAGTATAATATCAGCGGGTACAGTTGGCTGTGTAACTGCAATGCAACGCGTACATTTCACTTGACACGTTGTCATGTCATGTCACCTAATATTTTCTTTCTTTGTATAAACTCGTAAGCTTAGTACTTTTGCCAAAATCCATAGACTATACACTAATATATTGTGTTATCATAGACTTACAGTCTTATTCATAAAAAGTTAAAATAGCTTTATTAGCTTCTTATTAAGAGGTACCCTTAAAACACTATTCATAAACGCACTATAACGCTAAAACGTACTATAAGTGTTCAATAGCGGCTTCATAAGTTATAGAAGGGTCCACCGTACTAGGCGTGTGTATCTCTTTACGGAAACGACTCACTGATACGAATCACAGAAGTGACACAAAAGATTGGTTCAGTAACAACGTTTCAAATGTATCATTTGTATCTGGAACAGTGAAACATTACTTTGCTCTTTGCTCATTTCGAGCGACGCGTCGCTTGCGAGGCGACTGAACCACGAGCGAGAGAGAGAGAGAGAGACTGAGACAATGATTAACTTAACTATTGACTCACGAGTGGCGAGTGAGCGGGCGAAATAATTATAATCCACACAAGTCAGATAGAGATAACAAATAAGAAGTGTATCACAACTCGTACGGATTTTCGCTGACGTTATTCATGCACGTAAAAATTACCACTAAGGCGCTTATGTGTCAAATACTATACGGTCGTTTTTTGTATGTAGCGTTTGCATTAACAAGTTGTCATTTTACGTTGATGCGGCACTTGTCAAATTGTTTATATTCATTAGCGCCTGTTTACGAAAACATACTGAGTTATGTTTAGGATTTCTTTGCGTAGTGATTATTGTGACTTTACTTTCTTCCTTTTCATCATAAAGTTTAGAGTTATGATACTTTACGAGTAAATTCTGTGTACATAGATATTGCAGTTTTGTGTAAATGGACATTTTTGTAAATGATGAATTGACATAGTGACATTTTTGTTAAAGTATGAAGGAGAATCTATTTTATATACAATCTTATTACGGTACACAATAAATAATCTAAGCACTTATATTATTCAGCATTGTTGCCACATAACATTTTACGGATCAGTCAGTAATAAACGCCAATAAACGCCCGCGACGCAACTTAATGTACCTATTCGGAACATTCTTTCTTTTATATCTTTTGAGTCGATGATCCAAATGAAACATATAAGTGTTCCGGAATATTTCAGTGATCAAGATGCAAATGTTCCAATCACAAAAATGATACACTTTGCCCACCTCCACACCGTACTATAAACCCATTATAAACCAACCTGTTATAAGGAAAAAATGGCCGATCTGCGTGCGAGCAATGAAGTTGTATAGATTATTGTTGGTGAAATTGTTTTTTGTGGATTTTAATTGCTAAAGTGTCGTTATGCAAGCTCTGCAAGCTTTAGAAGCTATGGACCAAGTAGAAAATGCTCCGCATCATCGTCGTAAGGTTTACCGGAAGAGATACGATCCGTTTTCTTTGCCTGATGTAGAGTTCAAACGGCGATACCGCTTTAAAAAACATACGGCATCTTTTATAATTGATCTCGTCAAGCAGGATTTACAACTGGACTCAAGAGGTTGTGGAACGTCACCAGAATTGCAGGTGTAAACCGCCATTAGATGTTGGGGACGTCGTGAAGTAAGTCAACTTGTAGCGTACAAGTAATAATATCCTATTTGAGTGTGTAAACGTTTTTGTACCTATCCTTTTTAGGTTCAAGACGATGGAGGAGACCTTCATGGGTTGAGTCAACCAATTGTGAGTCGCATTTGTGCCAGAGTAGCTCGTGCGATTGCTCGTCACTCTGACCTGACACCTACATAAAAATGCCGCAGTCCTTGGCAGAAGAGCAAAGGATTATAAGGGAACTTTTAGAGATAAGGAATTTTCCTTGTGTTGGGTTGCATCGATTGCACTCACATAATAATAAAGAAATTTGGTGGTGATGCAGCTCAGTATTATATAAACCGAAAAGAGTTTTATTCATTGAATGTGCAAGTTCATATTATAATACAATGCAGTTCTTTGCCAGGTGATATATTACTCATATACATATGTACTTATTTTACCTACATATACATATATAACTGTGCTCACATATATTTCATTTTTAATGCAGGTAGTTTGCGATGTTAAACTATATATCAGAGACATGGTTGCCAGATGGTGAGGCAGTACCCATGATTCCCATGTCTTTAATGAATCCGCTTTGAAAGAAGAGAGTTAAGAGGCAGACTCTTAGGAGATTCAGGCTACAGATTAGAGCCATATCTATTTACACCTATACTAAGACCTCAAAATGAGCGTGAAGAAAGATATAATTGAGCACAAATTGCCACTCGGAACTGTGTTGAACGTTGCTTTGGTGAGTGGAAGCAGCTGTGTCAGTCTATTTTATGGCATGACAGTAAGACATGAAAAATGTGAAACCTACAATTGTGACTCTTGCAGTGTTGCACAATATTGCAATAGGACAAGATTCAGTACCAGGTAATTTGCACACAAATAATTTTAATCATTCATGAATATAATATTTTTTTACATAATAATATTTATAAGATAATTTTCAGATCATGATGACAAACTCAATGCAATTCTGGATGTTGAATGTCCTCTGGCCTCACCTCAAATTGGTGAGACCAGAGGAAGAGACTCCAATAATCCTCTTCTATGAGCATTTATTAATAGGCATTTTAATTTTCAATTATTTATTTTGCAAGAACTTGTAGTTTTTATTATAATATTCAATTTTTATTTTTATTAATGTCTCCTCTAGGTCCAAGTTTCGTGCTTTCCTTCCTTCATTTGCCACTTGGGCTTGATGGACCTCTTTCCTACACTCAATTTCAGTATTGCCTATACTTGCTGGTCTGAAATAAAAATAGTTATGTTTGAGTATTTAAAAAAAAATCAAAGCAACAATTTCATAAATTAACATAATCCCTAATAGAATAGAGGTCATTGTATTTACCTTTTTTCAATTTTTTATTTTCTTCCAGGTTTCTTAGAAGGTGTAAACAGTAGTTTTGGTGGTGAGCCAGTAGCTATAACCTGCAGCAATGAAAACCGTTAAAAGAAACTTGTTTACATTAACTTAATCGTTTCATCAAATAAAATTCAAGTTTAAATAGACCATTTCATTTTATTCAAGTAATACTTTTATCCCTAAACTTTACAATCCACATACTGGGAGATAACTGCTTCCATGGCTTCAACAATATCAGAATTACAAATCAAGATACGGGTTCGATTTCCAGTTTGGCACATGTTTACTTAATTTACAACTTTTCACATATTTACCTCTTGTGTATTTTGAACGTCCTGAAGTATTTCTACTGTGACATCCTTTACTGTACTCATTGTGTCCTACATCAGTAAAATAAGATAAAATTAAAATTAGATATGAAAAATATAAAAATGACTTGCTATCTCAATACATTATTGATGCTTACAATATCTGAAGTCTTGTTTTCAATGTTGACAAGTTTAATTATCATCCACTTTATAAATAATTCAATTACTAATGAACAATATTATGTAAGTATGATTTTTTTTTGATAACAATATCATTAAGTAAACTTTAGTAGGTATTTAGGCAGAAAAGGAACAACAATGTTTATCAAATGAAAGTTTGCACTAGGTAGAGATAAAATTTGCAACTTTTAACTTAGAATCTTGACATACATAATACCAGATTTATTTCATCAGAATCAAATTCATTTGTGTCAATGACAAATTCGTTAGGGAGCCATGAACAGATGTCATCTGCATTTTCGGGGTTTGTTGTTGGAGGTGGACCACCACCAGTCTGGAGAAGATTCTTACATTCAACAGACTTAATTTTCTTTTTTGTCATTTTAATAATGCTCCATTGGTATTTTATTTTTGGGAGGGTCCGAGTGCCACCTTTGCACATACTTTTGAAAGTGGAAAAAAAAATATAACAATGTACATAAATGTTTAACATTTTAATATTCAAAATGGGCTAATCTTAATGCAAGCAATCCTGAGAACTTGGTTGCACTTTCTCATATATCAACCCGTCCAATCCTATGTTCTATGAGCTATGTGGACTGCCCACTGTTACTTAAGTTTTCAACTTAAGTCTGAACCTGTGTCAGCAACTTTATTATTCAATAAGTTTCATCATAATGAATCCTATTGGATAGGGAGGCTCCTGTCATAGCTCTTCCCGAAGACTTGTTAAGTGACTTTAAACTTATATGTATTATGCCAGCTAGAGACAAAGTGACATGCTTCTGTTGCATAGTAATGTAACTGACCGTATATAGAATATCACTGCGTTGAAGACTCGTCTTCAAACACTTCACACATTGATAGACAAAAATAGGTCTGCATAATAAATCCGCCTATGCTGCTAGCTTTTTTGAGTTCGTATTTGTATCAGTATTTTTATTTTCAATCACTAATACACGCTCTCTTACCAAATCCATTAATAAATGCTATGGAAAGAAAAAGGATATTATTATAACAACACAGTGAACTAACACTTGTGCACTAAGCACCTATGAAGAAAATTACTTTAGTTACGTACTAACCTTATCTTCCTCCAGCCAAATTTCGCTTCTTTGCCGCTTTTTACTTGTACTGTTTTCCGTTACTATTGAGTAAAAAATATAACAAATCAATTTCTTGAACCGATATAAGAAAACAACGCGCTTAATTTGACGCGAATGTCACAATTAGTCTTGGGTAGTTCGCGAACGACCTAGGTGGGAAGAGCGCTCTTTTAGGTGAACTATGCGATCTAGTTCGCCGACAATCTCGCTCTTAGTTCTTTAAATATTTATTTTTCTGGCATCCGCTCTATTATGGAGTAGCGCTGCATGGCTAATCGACTGATTTATTTTT